CGGGGGGGAAGAGACAGAAATCTTTAATAAATAAAGAAAAAAATAAAATAAAAAGGGGAGTGGCACAAAGTTCTGCAGACCTTGGTCCTGGCTGTGCAGTCCTGCAGCCTCCTGAACCCCCCCCCCGGGGTGTGCTGCTCCATGGAACCAAGCTGTGAAGACCCATGCTGCATTCTGCAGCCCTGGCTGCCTTCTCCTGTGAGCTTCCCCCTGCCTCCTGGGAGTGCGGCCCATGAGATTCTGATTTCTAAATAACGCTCCAGGAAGAAGGCAGGGGTAGGGCTCAAAGACCTGAGTTTGATCCCTAGGATCTGCATCATGGAAAGAGATAACCAACTCCCACATGTGGTTCTCAGCCTTCACATATATACCATGTGCAAATACACCCACACACAAATAGTAAGAATAAGGACAGTGATTTTTGAAACAGGATCTTGCTATGTTATTAGGGAGGCCCTGGAACTCACTCTATAGACCAGGCAGGCCTTGAACTCATGGCCTTCCTGCTTCACCCTTCTGAGAAGCTCCAATCACCACCAAATCCTACAGTGCCATAAAGGAATTCTGGGTGTTTGTTTATTTGTTGTGTTGGGCTGGCAGAGCCTTGTGCATGCTGAGCAAATGCTCTACCACTAAGCCACACCCAGCACCCCAGAATCACAAGCCAGAAATGCCTGCTCATATTTGTTAATAAGTGTGGGCAAACACAGTGTACAAATCCCGCAGATTCGAATCTTCCTTTTTGCTTCCATTGCAGCCGCCACCAGCGGTGATTATCCAGGTAAATGCAAAAGCAAGTGGCAGCTAGTCACATTGCACCGAGTCAGGCAGCAGCAAGGATGCTTGAGGCCAGCAGGTCAGCTCTATGTCTCCTTTGTATTCGGGGCACCTATGGACCAGTGCTGCCCGTATTTAGGGTGCATCTCCTGGATTCAGTTAACCTAATCTAGATAGTCCTCCACAGGCAAGCCAAAAGACTTGACAGGGCTTTAGATTCTGTCAAGTTGACCGTCAACTGCAATCATTGCACACAGGTAGGATCCATGGTTAAATTAGGAAACAGTTTGGGACTGAAGAATCTTCAGGGATGTTAGTGTCGTGCGGCAGCCTCGGGCTAGTGAGAGATGGACACGAGCCAGGCTGTCATCACACTGTCCTCATGGTGTTCCTGCCTCCCCAGCAAGGCCCTGGACTGATGAGAACAAAATGCCCACACAGGATCTAAGCAGATAGCAAATAGGGCAAGGCCACCAGATCCTGGGGACAAAACTCTTATCCCTGATAAGGAAGGCACATTTTCTCTGCTTCTTGGCAGCCAAAACAGGCAGCAGCTGAGGACTGGGAGTCATAGAATAGTCCCAGGCTAGGTGACAAGTGAGTCACTATTCACACCCAGAAGGGCCGAGTAGACTTGTGTGCCCCTGGGACGTCTCTGTCTAATGCTGTTTCTCTGAATGTGACTCTCTATGACTCTCTGCCTTGCAAGACACTTTTAGATGCTATCTGTTCTTTCCCAGACACCAAACAGCATCTGAGGGCACACGGAGCCCCACCCACTGCTGTGTGCATACAGAGTGGAGACCCTTGACTCGGTGAAACTCAGAAAGGGCATGTGGCTGGCTGCTGCCACAGACCAGAATGCTTCTGGGATGGGATCTGCAAGCACTCAGTTGTAAGGCTGGAGGACCTGAGTCCTGAGTAAGACCAGCATGTGCAGGAAGGTGCTGGCCCCTGGGTGCTCACCAGCTACTTCCCGTTCTTCCCCACAGGAAGCAGTGTCTCATTGCCCGGAAGAGGGCCAGCTGGCCCGAATCCAGAATGTCATCCAGGAGCTCCCCCCGCCCCATTATAGGTAAGAAAAAACCATCCAGACTCTGGTGTAGTAAAGCATCGAGGAGGTGGGGACGCATAGCAACTGAAACAAACAGATGGTGACTTCCCTGGACGCCTTCGGAAATCAGTGAGCAGTCAGTGTTAGCGGATGGGCAGGTGTCCAACCAGGGGCAGTGGCAGCCCAGGGAAACCTGTCTCCACTTGCAGGGCACTCATCCGAGTCCCAAAGAAAGTCATCGTCCTCTCTGTCACACAAGCCAGCCTCAGGGTGACACCCTTGGTCATAACCGGAATTAAACTGTAAACAAACCTTTGGAATTCCAGATGGCCTTAAAGCTGTGGGTGCCTGTGGTTCTTGAGCGTATTATCTCTAGCGGCTCCTTAAAATTAGCCCAGGCATCACCCCCCTCTTTTCTAGTCTCACAGATGAGCCCAAGCAGTACTAACTTTCCCAGTGCCAACTACATCTGCCCACTTTTCAAAAGGGAGCGGAGTTTGAAATGGTGTTAAAAAGAACTTCTTTGTGGCCGACAAATGTCTGTCTCTGAGATGAGCCTGCTAGCAAGTTAATCTGTAGCCATGTGGATGGCCTCAGGCAATCAAGATGAGAACCTCTTTGAGGATCGTGGGGAGGTGAATTTTTCCCAGGGTGGAAAAGAAGCAAGTTGTTCACTACCAGCTGAGGGTGTGCAGGGTGTTTCCCTGGTCCCGTCTATGGACCAGCTCCAGCAGCTACAGCTGACATCTGACGACACTGACACCTGTCCCCATCCCAAGTCAGTGGCTCTGGGGTCAAGAAAGCTTCGTTATCAATCTTGATCTCTTCCTACTACTCCTTCAAAGTTCGTAATTTAGGGTGTCTTACATTCCCAACTTGGGTGTGACCTTCAAGTGACAGGCTTCACATGGGTGCTGACATTTCTTACTTTGCCAAGCATCCAACCAACACATGAACCGTTTCAGGACCTTGGAATACCTGATCCGACACCTGGCCCACATCGCCTCATTCAGCAGCAAGACCAACATGCATGCCAGGAACCTGGCCCTGGTGTGGGCCCCGAACCTCCTCAGGTAACTCCTATCCATATTGTGGGCTCAGAGCAGCCCATAATACTCTGAGTGGAAACAAAGCCTGAGTGCTTCAAAGTGAAAGCCCTGGAAGACAGCCCTAAGACTTAGTGATCTTTTTATAGTATATCTGAACTAATAGTGCCTTAAAAGCTAAGCTCTTGGCTTGCCAGCTTGGAAACTCTGGTTCCAAAGGCATCTGTTGGCTGTCATCCCAATGTCCCTAAAGTTATGGGTCTCTATGTTTGCTACCATTTCTCGAAAAGGCCTTTTTTTCCCCTCTGGGGCTCATTGGCTTTTCTTGGCTTTGGTGAGGCCACTGATGCCTGTGACTTGAATCAGTTGCTTCATGCGTGACTCAGGTGAGACAGCAGAATAAAGGTGGAAGGGAATCCCGTGAAGCTAAAAGAAGTCCGTCCTGTGCATTTATGGACAGTGTCTATAGTCTTGTGATGTAGAGCGTGTGACAGTGACTTCCCGTCTATTCAGTGGGTTGGGCTTCGTGTCTGTTGGGAGACACTCTCTGATTGGTCATGAAAAGCCAAAACATGTGGCCCAGACAAAAGACCCACCAGCCGTGCTCACTGCCCCTTATTGTAAGGCACAGTCATTCTGGATGTGTTTCTCCCTCGCAGGTGTAAAAAAATTGAAGCCACTATTTGCAACGGAGACGCAGCCTTTCTGGCAGTCCGGGTCCAGCAGGTGGTGATTGAATTCATACTGAATCATGCAGACCAAATCTTCAACAGTGGTGCTCCAGGGCCTCTGCAGCAGGATGGTAATGGCTCCCCAGAAGGCCTACACCCCCAAATACCCATCCTCCTTTATTGTCCTAATCATAGAGCCCCCAAATAAGTGAGTTTGAATGTGGAGGCAGGTAAAGCAGGCATTCCAGGTCAGGCTAGGCTGCATAGACAGTGTGGACCAATCTCCAGATGTTGCCAAATGTCCTTGGTAGGGTGAGCAGAGGGTGTGTAAAAGTGCCTCAAGTTACCGTCATCAGAGAAGGGAGTCCCTTGTCCATCAGCCATGCCTTCATCACATCCACCCTAAAAGGAACACCCCAGAGTGGGGGGACAATGACTATAATAGAAACACTCCAAGTAGAGGCTGCAAGGAAAGAGCCTCCCCTCTCTGAGGGAAGAGTACGCTAGATAAATGCTCTGTCCCTCTAGAGACAGATGCCTAGGAATAGTAGACTCCAGACATCCATGGCCTTAAAGAATGTGGCCCTTGGCTGTGGGAGGAGGGGCAGCCTCCTCCTCCATCTTAGTCGAGTTAAGCCACCTTCTTATCTGACCGCAGCACTTAGCAGAGTTTTGGGGATTAAAGAACCATTGCCGAAACTTTGGATCACAGTAAGCACCCAGTAAATGTTGTGGGGTGAATGAGCGAGTCTATGAAGAGTCGCTCCATGGAAAGTCCAGAAAGCAGGAACCTCCTGACGCCCCTCTCTGCTCTCCACCAGCTGTGAGCAGGAGAGCCGACAGTTTCCTTGCACAACCTCTGCCCTAGACTCCCCTGTAGTTAAAAAAAAAAAGCCCCAGTTGGCATGCAGCGCCCCCCCTCCCCCCAGTCGGAGTTCAAGTGGAAGGGTTATAGATGAGAGCTCTGACCAGGGCCCGAGCTCGGACCTGCTTTTGAGCTAAACTCTTTTCTTTGGTTTCCAGAAAGCCGTGTCATCACCAAAAGCCTGACCTTGCCAGCCCTGTCCCTGCCCATGAAGTTGGTAAGCCTGGAGGAGGCTCAGGCCCGAAGCCTGGCCACAAACCACCCCGCTCGAAAGGAAAGACGAGAAAACAGCCTGCCTGAGATCGTCCCTCCCGTGGGCACCCTCTTCCACACGGTCCTTGAGTTACCAGACAGCAAGTAATTGGCATTCTTCCAGGATTCTGAAAGATTTGCGGGTGGAGGGGGGGGACAAAAGAGGTGAGGCGTCCCGTCTTGGGGACGTGAGTGATAGCGGTATGGGTTGGGTGCAGTCCAGGTGGGGTCCAGAGAGATGTGATAAAAAGGGAAGGGAGCCATCTCCTCAGGTTTCACCATCATCCGTGGTGATGCTTTCACCCACTGTCCCAGAGCCCTGGTGAGCTCTGGTCCCCTGCCAAAGACGCAAGGTACCAAGTGAGTTGTGAGTCTCTCCTGCCAAAGAGTAGACAAAACAGGCCAGCAGTTTACAAAGCCGGTTGCCAAAAATGAATGCTTGGCTCCCTCCCCATGACCTCCACCCTTACATGACACCAAAAAAAAAAAAAAAAAAAAAACGAGAGATGAGCCTACGACAGATACAGGTTGACAGATGGTGCTGCTCTAGTCTGAGAGTTCTCAGTGGCAGCCCCCAGGGATGGCATTTCTGACTTCTTTGCTTCTTCTCATCCTGCCAGAGAACACCCCTCATCTTCTTTCTGTGTCTGTCTACATGTGTGTTTGTATGTGTTCGCGAAGACATGTGTGTGCAGGTTTGCAGGTGTGTGGCCAGGGAACAGGTTGTTCCTCAGATGCTACCTACCTTTTTTCTTTCTTTCCTTCCTTCCTTCCTTCCTTCCTTCCTTCCTTCCTTCCTTCCTTCCTCCCTTCCTTTTTTAAAACATTTCCATCATTGGCCTGGGGTTCATGAAGTAGGCTAGTCTGGCTCCATGAGACCAAAGGACTCACCCATCTATGCCTTCCAGGCACAGGCATTACAAGTGTGTACTGTTCGCCTTAAATAAATAATGCCGTCTGGACTAAACTCAAGATGGTGTGTGTGTGAGACTGGACACACAAAGAACTGAGCGGCCAAGCTGCCCACTTCCCATAGCCTGTCGGGTAATATTCAGCTTTTTACTTGCGATTTCAGATCCAACTCAGGCTTTCAGGCTGAGTGGCAAGCACTTTATTGACTGAGCCATCTCCTTGGTCCTTCTCCCTTTCAAAGCAAGTCGTCATTGGTACCTATAGGGTATCCTCTTTCCTTAGTTCTTCTTCTGCCACAACCTTAGTCTCCACCTCCTCACTGTACCCACCACGGAAGAAGGCAATGCCTGGAGCCAGAGTCGCACACCCTTAGCAGACAAAGGCGAGGAGGGCACCTTTTCATTGGATGGTGTCATCCATTCTGTTTCACGAGCCAGTCCCTTCCTCAAGATAGCGAGCTGTTTAAAGGGGGAGAAATCTGCCACCCTGGCTAACTAGAGGAGGCTTGGGCTGTAGAAATGGCACGCTTCAACGTCCCTGCGAAAGTGCTGCTTCCTGGAGCGGACAGATTGTACCCAACTAGAGCAAAATGGCCAGCACCTTTCTAAATCAGTACAGAATAAGACTCCCTCCCGAGGGGGAAGAGGGGGACTTCAGCGGAACCATCCGCTGCTTTGTCTCTGCGTTCAGCCCCAGCGCCAAGCCAGTTTAATTTATGCTGCTCCGTGTAATGCAGCCCAAGGCTAAGTGCTCAGGCTATCAAGCTGAGCCAGGGAGAAGGCAACGCGTTTGCAAGCTTGTCACTTACTGATCCTGAAGACCCGCTAAACCCGAGACCCAGTGTTCAGTGAGAGCCCTGTGGATACAGGTGCCTTATGAGAACCCCAAGTTACAGGGTTTCACCCTGAACTTCACTCCAGATCCTGGCTGGGTGGATCCGAAGCAGGACCTGCCTCTGTGGTGACCCCTGGTGGTACCAGGTTCTCACGAGCCATCCCAATGCTGTGTCAGTCACCTACCTACATCCCGGTCCCCAAACAGCCTGGTAGGAGGCTGAGCAGGCATTGTGCTGACCCTGATGCATTTCTTTACCAAGACCCCTGACCCCGCTGGCAAGCTACAGATCTCCCCATCAGTACCATAATGCATTCTTTACCACCCCTCCATCCTGAGTTATTATCAGCCTTCACCTCACGCGACATAAACTAGTCACATGGCCGGCCACCAGGCAGAGACACAGAAATGGGGTCTGTGGCCCTAGCTGTTCACTCCTGTTTGTTTGTTTGTTTGCTTATGAGAGGGTGTCTCTATATGCCCCTGGCTGTCCTGAAACTCACTATGTAGACCAGGCCGACCTCGAGCTCACAGAGATCCTCCTGCCTCACTTTCCCTAGTGCCTGGATTAAAGGCATGCACCACCACCTCTGGCTTGTTTACACCTCTTTTTTTTTTTTTTTTTCAAAAAAGACTTCGGCACATTTGAAGAGCTAGGACTAGGGTGCTTCATGGACTTCCTCCAGGGTTTCAGAACTGTGTGTTTGCTTGTGATCTCTGAGCGTTCCACTGACCGCTGCCTCTGTTGGCCTCCCATCCCTGCCTTTGATAGACAACAGTCTTTGGCTGTAGTTCCGAGGAGAAGGGTCTCTGCCTTCACTTGCTTGTTCACCCAGGCCATCCCCAGATAGGCTATAGTCAGGTGCATCTTGGCTTTTAGAGGGAAACTTCTGGAACTATCAAAGCCACTCAAACTGAAACTGTAACTGTGATGTTCACCTTGGATTTGCAATCCCCCTTGAGAGACTGAGTCAAAAATGAGCATGAGTTTGAGCCAGCCTGGTCTACTGTGGACTCTGCCTCAAAACAAAACACTGCCTTGAAATGACAAGTTCAACTAACCTGTATGGCTTGGTTGTTTCAGGAGAAAGCTTTCCAGTAAATCAAAGAAATGGAAATCAATATTTCACCTGGGGCGTTCTGGGTCGGACTCGAAATCCAAGCTGAGCAGAAATGGGAGTGTGTTCGTGAGAGGGCAGAGGCTCTCAGGTGAGGAGCAGCACCATGGCTTCCGGCAAACACACTGTGGTTCTTAGCTGGGTTTCACATTTGATCACTTTACATTAGCTAGTGAAAAAAAAAAACATATTCACTAGGGTATCTTAAGATGATGATGATAATGTTTTACTTATAAAAATGTTCAGTGTCTACACCCTCCATGAAATCTAATGCTAACATCACAACTATAGAACCACTATCAAAACAAAAAGATAATATGAATACAATTCTATTGACTGATTTATATAGGTTAAGAGTCATACTTAACCAATTGTCCCACAAATGTCCTTCTTCTGGTCCCAGTCCAAACCTGGGGTCCATATTTCCTTTGGTTGTGGTACATCCTCAATCTCCTCCACGGTGGAGCTGTTCTTTAGTTTCTCTCAGCATGATGCTGGAGCTATGAATCCACACAGGCTGTGCGCTGCCTGCCTCTGGGTCATGTCAAGAGGCACACCACGCCAGCGCCTTATTGTTTGTAGAGCTGGTTTGGGTTACTTGGTTAAAATACTGTGTGTTGTGTATTTCAGCAGCGCTGGTTAGATCTTGCCTGCAATGGTTATTTCTATAATTTTCTCAAAAAGCTGTGGTCTGTTAGTTGGAATTCTGCTGTAGAAGTTCTGTCCCTTCGCACTCAGTGCTGTGATTTTAGTGGGGTGCTTTCCCATGGATTTATTCCTGAGCAAAAGAAAAAAATTGAGGGAACCACTACATAATTCAGAATCTGGTCGGTCCATCCTGAATATTGTCACAGAAGGCCAAGAAAAACCTCCACAATGATTTAGTTCATGCAAAGTGCAAAAGCACAAATACAAATCTCGTCTGCATTGTGATTTGTTTATCTGTATTTTACAAAACCTACAAAGACAATTTTAAGGCCCAATAGGAAACTGTGGGTATGCACTGGCTACTAGGTGATTTTGAAGAATTATTAAGTTGTACAGTATGTTAATGATTCTTAGGAGGTGTATGCTATAGTTGAAGTACTTAAAATGAAATGTCAAAATAACAAGACTCACTTTCAAGTGATTTGGGGAAATGTAGGTATAAAATGAACAAATCAAATCAACAGGAAGATGTCAACAACCATTGAAATTAGATGGTAGGTTTAGAAAAATATTCAATTTTTATGAATGTTTGAAATATTAACTAAGTGTTGGGAAGAAATGAACTTCTATAGAGAAAACGAGAGGCAATATCTCTAACTTCTTTATGCAGGCAGAGTGATAATTTCAGGACAAGGGACAGAATGTAGAAATACTAGAAACCTGAGTTGTGTTTACCTCTGCATAGGTGTGTGGCGGACAGCAGTCATAGTGATTTCTGCTATAACTAAGAATAAATTCAGTTCAGTGGCAGCATCAGACATTCCAGTAGTAAGGAGATTTAGGGGTGCCCTAACACAGAGGCTGTGTCTCCATTTCATCCTGTCTTCCTCGGCTGTTCTGCCCTTTTTTGTGTCAGTACAGCTCTAGGCTGACTTCTTTGGCTGTGGCAATCAGAGTCAGCTTTTCTCCTTGAGCATTGCTGTCCCCAAGGGCAGAAGGAATGTCACTCTGGTAGCTTGCTCATCAGTTTTCATCAAGTGTCCTGCCGTGAGTCTTCCCTGGTCTCAGTAGCCTTCACTGGACCACAGGACCAGGCTCTGTGGCCAAAGGGGTTCCCGGGGCTAATTAACCTGGGTTCTGAACCAACCACTGGCATGAGGAATGGAAATTAAACCATTTAATTTACATTTACAGAAGTACAAGAGCTTTGTAAATAGGGCAAAGAAAGAGGGATTCTGGGTAGATATCTGTAACAGTTGTGCGGTTAACATACCTTTCATCAAATGCAAAACTGGTTCAAGTGAGGAGGACGGAGTGTCACAGCATGCCAAACTCATACAAGTAAGAATTAGGACTCTCCACAGACAGTGGGAGGAAGAGTGAGTACCTGACAGGAAACCCCCTAGTCTATGATGAGAGACTGCCTCAGCACAGCAAAGAGAGGATTTGTTACGGAATGGAAGAGGCCAGAAATAAAAAGACAAAAACCAAGAGAACAAAATAAGATGAAAAAGATGAAATAAACCATGATCTCGAAATAGAAAGAGTTCTGTGGTTTTTCAGAAGGCACAAATCCGAGGTGCTGGACCAAATGGTGGTTGAGTTCATGGGGTGTCATGTGCTCAGCAGGGTGTCTCAGAGTCACCCAGAGAGTGTCCCACAGCCACAGCAGTTTCTCCTTGAGAGGTCGGTGGCAAGGGCTGAGTATCAGCGACCTTTAAAAACTCCCTAAGTGGGCTGGAGAGATGGCTCAGTGGTTAAGAACACTGACTGTTCTTCCAGAGGTCGTGAGTTCAATTCCCAGCAACCACATGGTGGCTCACAACATGTTTGTAATGAGATCTGGCGCCCTCTTCTGGCGTGCATTCATAATAAATAAATCCCTAAGTAGTTCTACCATTCAGCCAGGTTCAAAAGCCTGATTGGAAACAGAACCAAGCCAGCTGAGCCTTGTTGGGAGGTGGGAGTAAAATGACATCAGTGGATGACATTGCAAGAGGCTCCTTCAGTGTTGCCAGAGTAACTATGGCTAGAGGAGAGGCTGCTTTAGCCAGAACAGCATTGAAGCTCAGGACCCCGATGTGTGGCTAGTGGACATAATTCCAACAGAATCCCTCCTCAAAGGCACGCCACCGAAGTCCGTAATCTTCCAGCGTGGTCTCTGTGGAACCACGGTTTGCAATACTGGTTGTGAGCGACTTTTTAAAGGGGGGAAATCAGTGGATTCACATATGTGAACAACATGTTAACATTTCCATGACAGAGGGTGTTTGAAAGTTTTGTATGTGTACGTGGAGTATGTTTGGGTACATGCATATATGTGTGCAAGTACATGTGCCCACGCCTGTGGAGGCTAGACGTTAATGCCAGGTGTCTTGCTATACTGCTCCCCCCCCCTTGTTTTGTTTTGTTATGTTACGACATGCTCTCTCACTGGCTAGACTGGATGACCAGAAACCCCACCCCCAGCACACACACACACACACACACACACACACACACGCACGCACGCATGCACGCACGCACATGCACGCACGCACGCACTATCTGTGTCCACCTCCCAACCAGTGCAGCTAGTCTTGACTTTTATGTGGATGCTGGGGACCCAAACTCAGGTTGCCATGTCACAGAGCAAGCACCTTATGTGTTGAGCCATTTCCTAAGCCCCCTAAGGTAATTTTGAAAATTGATTAGCCGCGAATAGTATTGGGAGCTTATTGGCAGTGGAGAGAGGGACATGTTCAAGCACATTTTAAAAAGATAAACAGATGAGAAAGTGTAAGAAAACAAATGAGGTCGTGACAACACAGAGGCCTAAGCTTTGAAGAGATTCCAGACACTGGTTTCAATATTTAAATTTTGTTTTAGATCAAAATAAACCTCTGAGCAGAGGAACGCCAAAGTCATAGGGCTGGAGACTTTACCTTTGAGTGAAAGAATCATCAGAAGAGACCACAAAGGTTACCAGATGACTGGAGGGCGACAGCTGAGGACAAGCTTGGGAGAGTTTTTATCTGGGATGCAGGAGGCCCAAGGTTCAGCCTTCCAACACTGCACAAACTTGGCACAGTAGCGCCTGCCTGTGATCTCAGCATTTAGGAGGTAGGGGCAGGAGCATCAGGATCTTAAGGTTATCCTCAGCTATATAGTGAGTTCAAAGACAGCCTGGTTTACATAAGATTCAATTTAAAAAAAAAAATGGGGCTAGTGGGTGGACCTCCAGGAGGCCAGATCAGCACCTCAGGCGAAAATATCCTCTGAGTATAGGCAGGAGTCAATGGGTCCAAACCAGACTCTTAGTGACTAGAGAAGATGCTTTGGAATGCTTCAGAACTATTGCTGAAAGCTACAGAGCTTGGGCGTATGGAGGGGGATAACTCGGGGTTAGTTCATGATTACCTGGTCCCGGCCCCTGAAGGTCACCACATGAAAACCAGAGCCCAGAGACAGAGAGATACAGAAAGCAAGGCAGAGCCTGTCCCAGAATACACAGATGGAGGGACGCCAGCCAGGCAGCTTTGGGATGATAAATCAGTTCACGATCCTGCACAGACAGCCTCTCTCCAAGGGTAAAAATCTTGGCATGCCGTTGAGAGTGAGGAGGTTGAAGGCACTCGGTGTATCTGAGAGCTTGCGTGAAGCCGAGGCCAGTCCTCCCATGTGGCCAAGTCAGAGAATCCCCATGCAGAGGAGGCCAGCTGTTTAATTTGGAACCTCTTAGAAGAGGAGAGTTTGGAATAAGGGAAGAAAGAGGTGAAATTTTTAAAAAGAGGAATAAAAACAGGCATGAGTTATTGCCCAGTTTGAGTTCGTGCCAACTCTGACCGCTTCTCGTGGAACAGCCTCCCATTTTCCCCTGTGGTGAGAGCGCTGCCTATCTTAAAGACACAAAGAGTATGTTTTGTTTGTAAGACAGGTTCGCACTATGTGGCCCTAGCTGGTCTGGAACTCACTACTATGTAATATTTTTAATTGAGTATCTGTTCTAGTTTAGGATTATATAATTACTTTATACTCATTTCTCATTTAGTCTTAACAACTCTTGTTTTTCTTTTATTCATGAAAACGATACAATCTGCTGACCTTGGTGCAGCATGTCTTTAATCCCCGTACTCGGGAGGCAGAGACAGGCGGATCTCTGTGAGTTTGAGGCCAGCCTGGTCTACAGAGTGAGTTCTAGGACAGACAGAGCTACGTAGAAAAACCTTGTCTTGAAAAAGAATGAAAAGATATATAACCCTTCCCCCCCCCCAAAAAAAAGAGTTGTGTGTCTGAGGATGCACAGCTGCAAAGTGACAGAGATAACTCAAACCCAGGTCTGTGCAAATCCAGACTTACCTTAATGGCAGTTAGTTCTGCACTTCTTAGCCTCCACGTTCTAGTCTTCCTCCTAGCAAGCTTGACCGGGAAGAAATATTGGTCCTAATCCTGTTTCCTTTACTGTAAGAGAATCCCTGAGGCTGGGTAACTTATTGAGAATAGTGATTTATAGTTCTCCAGGTTAGGAAGTCTTAACTTCTTGACTTCTGGTGAGAGTCTCATGCTGGGCTGGAGAAAGTACAGACTCTCGCTGTAGCTATCCTATCCCAGCAAGACAGTCATTAAGCCATTTACGAGATCTCTGCCCCCATAACCCAACTCCTCCCAACCCTGACGTACTGAAGAGCTAAGCTTCCAACCTATGAATGTTTGGGGATCAAACTCCTACCACAGCTGTGCCTGTTCCTGTGCTAGCAATGGGCTCTTGACTCATTTAAACCAACACTTCCCAAGTCCCAGCTATGGTAGCTTGTAATGATGCATAAAGTGTACCAGGTTCATAGTCTGAGTCCAAAGGGACTCCATTTTGTAGGGATCTGTTCACTGCGGAGGTTGGTGGGTAAGGATTCCATGGAGCACGGCCCCTGGGGTAAAGCTGACGGTGGCACCCCCAGGCCCGCTCACTTGTACCAGATTCCTGGTGCTGCTCTATACGGTTGCCCCCAACAGTCCTGCTCCCCATTCTGCTGGATAAGAGATTTCCCAGGTTCCTTAGAGTCTACCCCATGAATCCATCTTGAGTACTTTTTAAAATTTTGTTTATTATTTTATGTGTATGAATGTTTGTCCACACCATGTTCATTATTTTTACTATTTGATATGTATTTTATTATTTTACGTGTATGGATGTTTGTCTGCACCATGTTCATGCAATTCCCTGGGAGGTCAGAAGAGGGCATCAGATCCCTTAGCACTGGAGTTAGGGACAGTTGTGAGATGCCGTGTGGGTTCTGGGAATCAAACCCAGGCTCTCACCCGGGTGGTGGCTCACGCCTTTAATCCCAGCACTCAGGAGGCAGAGACAGGCAGATCTCTGTGAGTTCGAGACCAGCCTGGTCTACAAGAGCTAGTTCCAGGACAGGCTCCAAAACCACAGAGAAACCTTGTGTGTGTGGGGGGGGGAACAAAAACAAAAACCCAGGCTCTCTGAAAGAGCAGAACTCTTAACCACTGAGCCTTTGCTCCAACTCCCTGAGCACTCTTTGTTCAGCTAAACTGGATTCAGGACTTCTCGTTTGATGAAATTACAGTTTAATTTTACTTGTAAAGTATTAATAAACGCAGTCTGTGCTCTCTTGTCGTGAGGTCAGTCCCCGACAGGAAAGTGGGGACATGTAGAGTGGAACAGGGCAATTCTGTAAGGAGATAATATGTTGTAACACTTGAAACCATTTGCTGGTGTTTTTTCTCATATGCTTATGGCCTAACCTATTGTTCTGAATGTTTCTTCTTGATATATATTCATCTGGGGTATTTTTTTTCTCTTATCTTTAGTGGAAAAAGCTACTATCCGACCAGCTAAAAGCATGGACTCGCTGTGTTCAGTGCCTGTGGAAGGTGAGTGTCTTTGTTATTACTCTCTTGCTGTGAAGACACACCGTGATCAAGGCGACTTATAAAAGAAAGCATTTAATTAAGGACTTGCTTACAGTTCCAGATAGTCCGTTATCGCCCGTTATCATCATGGCAGGAGGCATAATGGCGGGCAAGCAGGCGCGTGGGCTTTGGAAACCCCAAGCCCATCCCTACTTATGTACTTCCTCCAACAAGGCCACACCTCCTAATCCTTCTCTAATCAGTCCATCAATTAGGGACTATGTGTCAAATAAATGAGCTTATGGTGTGTGTGGGGGGGGTCCTCTTTCAAATCACCACAGTGAGATGCCACAATTAGTACCAAGTCGCTTACCTGTGGTTATGTTTATACACGACCACCTAGCCCCAAATCATTCCCTGGCTCATCCCAAACAAGATCTAGAACTTTCCCTTTCTCCAGCTTTCCTCTAGCCACAGAGGAGACCACAGGGACTTTTCACTCAAAATTAGACCACATTAAAGGTCAACAAGCTAAAAACTAAGACAGAGGAAACCTATACAGAAAGAGCCAAACACTGGTTTGTTTATTCCAGGGTAATCATGTGTCCTGAATTTGTGAGTTTCCTGGTCATGAGTTTCACAGAGTTTCCGTTGTCATTTTGAACTGATATACTTCTTTATGCCAGTAAACACTGACCAGTGTCTTAGGGTTTCTACTGCTGTGATAAACCCCAAGGCAAAAAGCAGCCTGGGGAGGAAGGGGTTTATCTACCTTGTAACTTTCTCAGGGAAGTCAGGGCAGGAATCTGAGGCAGGGAGCGAAAGAGAGTCCATAGAGGAGGGCTGCTTAGTGGCTTGCTCCTCATGGCTTGCTTGACCTGCTTTCTTACACAACCCAAGACCACCTGTCCAGGGACCACCCACAGTGAGCTAGGCCCTGCCACATCAATCACTCAGTTAAGAAAATGCCCCATAGGCTCTCCTAGAGGCGATGTGCTGGAGGCATCTTTGTCAACTGAGAGTCCCTTTCCCAAATGTGTCTAGGTTTATGTCAAGTTGACAAAGGCAACACAGCATAATGGCGTATTTGCTATGTATTACCTGCTGGTGTGGGTCACATAAGAGTTGATAACAACGGGGGATTGACATTTGTTCTAGCAGTTCTAGCATCTCATCCACTTTTTGTCAAACAACCATCAGACTCAGCTACAAGTTTCAAGGAAAGCGGTTCCCCCAGGCGTAGCCTGTGGACACCCACGATGCTAACCACGGCTTGTTCTTCTTCACCAGGGAAAGAAAGCAAAGGAAATTTCAATCGATCGGTCACCACTGGTGGATTTTTCATTCCAGCCACAAAAATGCACGCGGGCAGCGCTGGCAGCTCCTGCGACCTCAGCAAGGAGAGCGAATGGGGTCAGGAGGGGATGCCGGCTGGGGCTGAGGGGGGCTGTGAGGTGGGCGGTCAGATCCGACCCCTGCCTGAGCAGCTGAAGGTGTTCCGCCCCATCGGAGACCCTGAGAGCGAGCAGTCCGCCCCCAAGCTTCTGGGGATGTTCTACACCTCCAGCGACAGTCCCGGCAAATCCGTCTTCACCAGCAGCCTGTTCCAGATGGAGCCCTCACCGCGCCACCAGCGAAAGGCGCTCAACATCTCGGAGCCCTTCGCAGTGTCGGTACCACTGCGCGTGTCCGCTGTCATCAGTACCAACAGCACCCCGTGCAGAACACCCCCCAAAGAGCTGCAGTCTCTCTCCAGCCTGGAAGAGTTTTCTTTCCAAGGTTCAGAAAGTGGAGGATGGCCAGAAGAAGAGAAGCCCCTGGGAGCTGAGTCTCTTCCAGGTAAAACAGGGGCCGGAGGGTCTCCCTCCATTGCAAGACAGGACACGATGTTTGAACTGGCTTAAATAGGATTTTTAGGGCAGTGTGGTGAGGTGGTTGGGACGATGGGCTCCGGGGCCAGAATGGGTGCTGCAAACCCATGCTCTGTCTGTGCCTCAGTTTCTTTCTTTCTTTCTTTCTTTCTTTCTTTCTTTCTTTCTTTCTTTCTTTTTTAGATTTATTTATTTATTATGTATACAGTGTTCTGTCTGTCTGTATGCTTGCTGGCCAGAAGAGGGCACCAGATCTCATTACAGATGGCTGTGAGCCACCATGTAGGTGCTGGGAATTGAACTCAGGACCTCTGGAAGAGCAGTCAGTGCTCTTAACCTCCGAGCCATCTCTCCAGCCCATGTGCCTCAGTTTCTTAATGTATAAAATGCTGGTGTTGATAACCATACCTTGTGTTGTAAGTTTGTGTGAATATTTGGTTGGCACATGGAGCAGTGTCCAATAGATACTAAGTACTCAGTAAATGATACTAACTACTTTATTAGCACACACGGTGAGAACTCAGGAGGGAAAAGCCGGAGGCTGAGCTAGAGAACTGGAATTGACGGGCCTGTATTTCTGGATGTATTTTCTATTTGCCCATCCCTCCATGTTTCTACCTCATATTTGCAAAGAATAGGGCTAACTCACCTAGCCATGAGAGAGTGCTTCCTTCGGGTTGACCACAGCAATCCCAGACTGCGTCTGATGGGGTCTCCCACACCAAGGCCAATACAGTCTTTGAACTGTGTCCAGGGTGAGCAGGAGTTTCTATTGTTGTTGCTCCAGACTTCTTCCCTTGTAGGCAGGCTGGTCTCTAACAACAGATCCCACTGTGTCTGCCTCCCTAGTGCTTGGTTTACAGGCATAAGCCACTTAGGAAGGACTCTTTTTGACCAACAGTCCTAAAATGAAATAGGGAGAATCTCAACAGAAAGGTTTACTGACAGTCAAGCCAAGAGAATGTTTCTGTCTCAACCAACATTTTCAGAACCTCCTATTGTGCCCAACATGTATAATCTCACTTCTCAAGACAGCCTTCTGAGGTAGCGGTAATTATTAGATAATCCCCATTTGCTTGTAGAGGAATTATTTTCCCTAAACTTCCCAGTTAAGTGGGGAGCCACCACTAGCTAGCACATTATTAATCTCAAATCTGAACCAAGGTGTGCCAGCCAGTATTTGTTGGTATTGCTTGGCAGGACGGCAACACCGTGTTCAGAACCAAGACTGCCATGAAGCTGTGCAATGCAGCCCAGGTGAGCACTGCAGTGAACATCTAAGATTCACTGTCCGTTAGGTTTTGAATTCATCTTGGCCGCCGTCTATCCAGATGCCTTTCACTCGTGGCAACATTGTCACAATCTATCCAGATGCCTTTCACTCGTGGCAACATTGTCACAACCTGCACATTCAGTTACATGGCCTCACGTGCGGGCACAACCTACGGTTTAAAAAGCTGTGCTCGAGGACCCAAAAGAACTCATCGCCCCCAAGGTTGTAACAACCAAAACTGTCTTCAGAAATCACCAATGTCCCCAGGGGGCTGGGGGAGTTTGGAGCAGAATGGCTCCCAGTCAAGAACCCCGGAGTAGATGATGGCCAGAATCTGAGGCAGGAATGTTGTCGAGAAAAGCATAAAGAATGGGGGGGGGGAGGGCAGTGAGTCTCTGTGAAGCAGGGCAGGGAGGGGGGACAGGGATGGGAGGGTGCCACAAGGCCTTTGGGAAATGAGCCCTTTGTACTGATCACGCCCGTCCTCCTTGCAGCTTCTGTGGCTAAGAAGGTGGCTTCCGAGGACACCGTGCCAGAACCCGAAGCCCTGGGGACAGCAGAAGGTAGCCAAGGCCCTCCCCTCCACCCAGGTACCCAAGTGGAGAAGAAAACCTTGGAAATATCCCTGGGCTCTCAACTTTCAAGGGACCCAGAGAAGACGCCAAATGCCGAGAAGGTGGTGGAGGAGAGCCAGGGGGCTGACCAGCTGAGGAACACTGCTCCACAAGAGGGCCTCAGGGCCAGGACGGAAGCAATGCTTCTCCACGAGATGGTAAGGTGGACTCTGCCTGCTCTAGTCACAGATGGTACAATTTAAAGCAGATTTTTAAAGAAATGTTAAGGGTTGCTGCAAGAGAGATTTATTTACTTATTTTTTTTTTTAGGTTTTCATTTTGTAAGTGTGATTACTGCTGCATGTGTGTATATGTGGGGGGGTAGAGGACAACTTTGGGGAGTCTCTTCTTGCTGTATTTGTTAAGGCAGTGCCTCTCTCTTTTGTTGTTTCTGCTGCACTATGGACTGCAGGATGACCAGATCCCAGGCTTCCAGATCTCGTACTTCACCACAGGCGCGCTGGGATTACAGATGAGGTTTTTACGTGGGCTCCGGGGATCAGGCGCAGACCATCAGTCTTGCAAGGCTAGCACCCCTACTCACTGGCCATCTTCCTTGCCCCAACTATATCTTTAGAAGTCTCACTTACTAGGCAGGAATGCTGGCCTACATCTATGATCCCATCACTTGGGGGATGGGAACTGGAGGACCATGGTTTTAAGATCGTTTGGGATAACCTCGGATGTTTGAGACCCTGTCTCCCAAAACAAACAAAACAAAACCAACTTCTCAGTCTGGAGTTCCTCCGTGGCAGGCCTCAGGGAGGTCTTCCATGAGGTGAAGGAATCATTCAGCTCAGATTCCCAAGGCAGACACAACTCTGAATAATGCTGGCCCATAAACCACTGCATGTCCTTAGCATGCAATGACACTCAAGCACAGAAGCAACATGAAGCCTGCTCCTTATATCCCAGTTCCAAACAAGATGACCACTCATGAATCCCATTCTCTTCTCTCAGACATGGCAGCCTGATGTTTGTCTCGGGCTCTCTAGAAAACCTGAGAAGTTCCCAGGCCCTAGTCTGTGCTTCTAGAAAAGGTCAAATCTGATGCCAAAGCTGACAACCTGTATCTGTTTTTTAGGGGTGGCGTTTTCCACAAGTGTTTTTATGAGATGTCTTTATGTAGAAGGTGTGAGGAGGTTTAGGGGGACACCCAGGGAGAAGGCCTGCATTTGTAAGAACCGTGATCAGAGGCATGGGCCGAGGGGTAAAGGAAGCCTACGTTTTAACTTGCTTCCAGAAGACACCAGGAGGACCATATGGGGAGAGTTAGGGCAAAGCTGAGTTAGGCAAATATGGTGGCCTCAGGAGGGTTGAGCAAGGGTTCCCATAAAGCATGTTTGCATTGGCAGAGATTCTTTGGGGGTTGGAGTCTCGTGAGGAGAACCCCAATACCAATGACAATACCTCGAGGAAGACGGTTGGTGCTGGAAGGACTAGGGTGACTACAAGTTAGCAAATCAAGGCCTCAGGTCATTCCTTCCCTGGGCACATGGCCTAAATCCCCACTCTGCTAGGCACTCTGCTGGGCTGTGCGACAAGACTGTCTCCACTGTCCCTGACAGCCTCACAGGGAAAAGTCAGCGTCCAGGGTACAGTGGAGGTATGGAGTGGTGAAGAGACATAACAGGGTTTCTGAGTAAGAGATCCATGAAGGGAAACACTGAGTGAAGTAAGGAAACACGAAAAGGGCAGAACTGTTCACACAGGAATGCAGGGAAGTAGAATCCAGCTGGTTTTGGCCGAGTCGTAGTACTCGAGAGCTTGAAGAAGTAAAAGGGGCCAGGCGGAGGTGGCGCACGCCTTTAATCCCAGCCCTCAGGAGGCAGAGGCAGGCGAATCTCTGTGAGTCTGAGGCCAGCCTGGTCTACAAAGTGAGTTCCAGGACAGGCTCCAAAGCTACACAAAGAAACCCTCTCAAAAAAAAAAAAAAAAAAAAAAAAAAAAAAAAAAAAAAAAAAAAAAAAAAAAAAAAAAAAAAAAAAAAAAAAAAAAAAAAAGAGGGAGGAAGGAAAGGAGGGAGAGAGGGGGAGGGTGGGAGAGAAAAGCACAAGTCGAGACCCTGGATTTAACCCTCAGTACTCTAGACCCAGAGCCAGGTGAAGAGATGAAAGGTCAGAGGCATATCAGACTTTCGCAGAATGACACACACCTCCGGGGGGGGGGGGGACTCCCTGAGATGCTTCTTTTTACAAGGGAATTGCATTTTGATATGATAAAGGCAAGGAATGCACTCCAGGTAAGTGGGAGGCTGGGGACATAGCTCAGTGACGGAGCACTCGCTGGGCTAAGCACTGACTGAGGAGGGTCAGCGGCCGACTGAGTTCCTCTGTGGACAGGACTGGATTTCCATCCCAATCTACTGTATGTATTAAACATTTGTTTAATCTGTTTAACAAGCCTTTACCTGGTATCATCTTAGGACACTGAAAAAGTTAAACAGGAAGACACAACCTATTCCAGACACCCACGGTTATGGCTGGGGCTGCCTCCTTCACTGGCTGGAATATGGCATCACCCCATTCCCTCTTGGCAGACATCAGTCCCCAGAGTTCTGGACTCCGAAGTAACCAGGGTCCTCTTGTTTTTCAGGATGAAGATGACCTAGCTCACACCCTGATCTGGCCTGAGATTCAACAGGAACTGAAAATCATTGAGTCAGAGGAGGAGCTCTCGTCTTTGCCACCCCCTGATCAGAAGACAAGCCCAATAACTGAGACAGATCCAGCCCCACTTCCCTTCCCAGAAGCCTCTGCGAGTTCCCCCTGTTGTAGCTCTACACCTCTGCAAGTGTGGACGAGGGACTCAGCCACTCAGAGCACACAGGAGGCTGCCATCCCTGCCAATAGAGAGAAGCTGGAGCCGGTTGGCAACATCCCTGGGTCAGAGTCTGAGCAGGTGCTCAGCCCGGACCCAGCCAGTCTGGCACCTCTGCAATTACTTCTGTTTGAGAAGGTGTCTTCTCCAGCTAGGATAGACACAGGAGGCCCAAGAAATCTCTCTCCTCCACTTCCTCCTGCTCCTCCCCCTCCAACTCCTCTGGAGGAGGAGCCTCGAGTCTTGCTGTCAAAGGAAGGCCCTGACAGAGACAAATCATCCATGGATTCCAGGACAGATGCCTACACAGAGCAGCCAAAACCCAGAGACAATCCTGGCATCCCTAGCCTCTGTCAGAGAGAAGAGGCCTTTGCCAGCCCCAACGAGAAGCAAAATGCAAAGTGTGCAGTTCCCGAGAGCAAAGGCCCCGGTCTTCCGAGCCCAGCACAGGAGGTTGAAGTCTCCCCTCCAGAGGAGGGGGATGCCCCCCACGCAGCACAGGAGCCTTCAGACTGTGATGAAGACGACACGGGGACAGACACAGCTCAGCACGGCCTGGAGATGGTAGAACCGTGGGAGGAGCCCCAGTGGGTGACCAGTCCCCTTCATTCTCCCACCCTGAAAGAAGTGCAGGAGTCGCAGGTGCAGTGCGCCCAGGCCCACCGTTTGGAGAGGAGACTTTGCCACAGGCCCAGCCTTCGCCAGAGCCGTTCTCTAGATAGCAAAAGCACTGGTCAGAGTCACTGGACTCTCGAGATTCCCTTCTCCAGCAGCTGTGCCGACCTTGAAACGGAGAGGAATTATGAGCCCCTGCAGCCCCCCGCGGCCAGGAATAAGATTGCTGGGTGGGAGGAAAAAGCCCTGAAAGCCTTCAGAGAGTTCTCTGGCCTGAAAGGGTTAGAGGCTCTTCCCAGCCAGAAGGGACCGTCTGGTGTACCACCCAAACCAGTGGAAACCAACTTCAGCAGTCTGGAAGAGGGAAAGGAGCAGGAACCAGAGCAAGGACTCAGCAACCCTCAGGTGGAACACAGCCATGTCGTCCCCGGGCCTGAGAGCACCACAGAACGTTCACCTAGGGCTCCAGACAGCACCTCGCCTGGGGAGCACCCCCTAAAGCTACAGCATAAGAGCACTGAGTGTGTGCCCTCCAAAGGGAAACACAGGCCTTCCTCCCTCAACTTGGACTCTGCCACGCCCATCGCTGACCTCTTCCGACTTGAGAACGGGGCTTCATTTAGTTCACCTGGCATAGAGCTCTCTGAACTAGGAGACGCCAAGGTCACCTGGGTGACCTCCTCTCACTGTCAAGCAGCCCCCTGGAACCCCCAGGACACTCAGGACCTGAACATTGTTGCCCATGCTCTGACAGGCCGTCGGAACTCAGCTCCTGTGAGCGTGTCAGCTGTAAGAACCTCCTTCATGATCAAAATGTGTCAGGCCAAGGCTGTCCCTGTGATCCCACCCAAGATTCAGTACACGCAGATCCCACAGCCTCTGCCCTCTCAGAACACAGGGGAAGGGGGGACTCAGCCTCTAGAGAGGAAGCAGGAAGAGCCTGTTTCAACCACTGAGACCCCTCAGAAACTCACCAAAGATGATTCTCCCTCCTCCCTGGAAAGCCCAGAGGAAGAGCAGCAACCAAAGCAAGAGACAGGAGCCTTTGCATCCCAGAGGAAGGACAGCCCTGCATCCTGCGCGTGCGAGGGATCCTTCTGCTCTCTGGAACCAGGGGCCTCCAGCCTGCTCTCCACACAGGATGCGATGGTGCCATGCAGGAAACGCACATCAGAGACAGAACCATCAGGGGAGAACCTTCTTTCTTCGAAACTGGAGCGAGCGTCTGCGGGTCCTAAGTCTTTCCACAGGTCAAGGCCGGGAAGACCTCAGAGCCTAATCTTATTCCCCATCATGGACCACCTACCCTCCTCCTCCGCAATGATAGATCCCAAGGTCCTGCTGTCCCCCATCAGAAGCCCTACTCAGACAGTCTCCCCTGGCCTTCTCTGTGGAGAGTTGGCGGAAAACACGTGGGTCACAGCGGAAGGGGTTACGCTTAGGAATAAGATGACCATCCCTAAGAATGGCCAGAGACTAGAGACGTCAACGAGCTGTTTTTACCAGCCCCAGCGGAGATCCGTGATTCTGGATGGAAGAAGTGGGAGGCAAATAGAATGAGACCAGCTGGCCCGATGGTGTCTGCAGAAACGTCAGGTTCATCTGGAGGTTATGATAGGACCAACTGGCCATCTTTCCAGGCACAAGTTATCTAAATGGAGGCTTATTTTGGCCTCTGACCATCCCCATCTCCCACTTCCCCTGCCTCTCTCTTTGTCTTTGACCATGCATGAGTCCGTTTGCCAGAAGAATGGTCGAGACAAGGACCAAAAAGTCCGATTTAAGTAAGTCCACAGGAGCAAGTTGGGAAGGTTAGGCAAGGGAAGCGGATGGAATTCTTGCCTCCGGCGGAAACTGGGGCTCGTCGGTGAGTCTCAGCATTTCTCCATCATCACTGTCTGTTACTGTTCAGAGCTGGCTGTGTTAGTATCCCTTGAAAGAAAGAACAATCCTTTGCCTGAGTCAGAGAAATCTTCCTGTTGCCACCGAAGGCTTCTTCGTGCTTTCTTAGGCTCTTTAAGGCGTGTTCTCTTAGACCAGTTTTCTGTAAGCTCTGTAAAAATGTCTTACCCCCAAGTAGAAGCAGATCTGAAAATGCAAACTAACATGCACTTAAGGTATCCAGGTGGGGGGCCTTTCTTGCACTCTCTCCCTGGGATTGCTGCAAACCTGTCCGAGGTGATCCATGAACCACAAAGTCACAATCAGTACTCAAGAGCAGAGCCCCAGATTGGCACCACCCACGAACGCTTCCTGGTGCTGGCTTCGCGACTCCCTCCACCTGCCCTGTGCTGAACAAATCCAGCAGTTAGGGGGACTGAGGACTGCAAGTCATATAGGGTGGGACGGGAAAGTCATACAGGTCTGCAGGAGTGACGTGTCTGCTTTCTCAATAGTACCAGAATCCAAGTGCCACATGTCATAGGGAGAAGCCTCAAAGAAAGGCACAACTTCATAGGGACCTGATGTGTTTAAAGTTAGCCAGGCATCGGGGAGAAAATTCTAGCTCAGCTTGACCATCCATCACTAAGCTGTCTGGGCCCAGCATGACAGGAGAGGGGGCAATGAGGGGTCCCAGCAGTGGCTGTCACTGACATTCATGGTCCTCAAAGGGGCGTTGCCTTTAGCCAGTGGCTCCCTTCCTTTCTCCTTCTCTCAAGGGCTGATTTGAGACACCTTTCTCTGTCTTAACTCCCCCTTCACCATCCACCTGAGCACTCAGACTTGCTCTTTGACATTGTCTAGACACAAGCAGATGCAGTAAACCAATCTGGTGTTCCTTACACCTGCTGGAAGATACCTGGTGCTTCCATTCAAACGCTCAATGGAGCACTTTTCAGACCCCAGCCTGGCTGAGCTCTGTCCAGAAGCTCAGTTTAGAGACAGACTGGCAGCACCCGTGGGCTGACCCCAGTCAGTCACTACTGGACTGGGTGGGGCTCAGCTGAAGTCATCTCCAGTGGAAATGTGGAAGCCTCAGCACAGATGTCATGCCCTCCTTTCCTCCCAGGTTAACCTCAAAGATCTGAAGTCCTGACCTACCCCTTTAAGCAGGGCCTGGGCCAAGGCTAACTAGTAAGTCAGCTAATGAGAGTGAGCCTCCGTGAGGGAGCGCGGGAACAGTTACTAGGTCTTCAGCCTTTGCTTTCTTGGTAGGCGAGGAAAGCACTGGACCAACAGCCACGAGATGTCAACCCACAAGAAATCTTAGGACACAGCAGTTCCCCCCTAGTCACGGAAGGTGAAGAAATATGTCTGGAGAGATGAGAACGGCCGTGTTCTGAAGATCTGAAAACACATCCCTGCCTTAGCAAGCTCTGAGCGAGGCTCAGCACGCTCATGGTAATGCCTTAGCAAAGACTCGTTCCAGTGGGACGTGAGAGGGAGAGAGCCACGCACCGGAACACTGAAACTACTTAATTACTGTTTTAAATTTTCTAATACGTCTAGGATGCATTTGTACTGGCAGGTAGACAGAAAAGCCACCATCTGTACGCTAACAAATGACTTCAGTCCTGAGGGCGGGTTTCTAAAATGATTGCCATGCTCCTTTAGATACCATTCATCTGCCACATCACCTTCAGAAGAACGGGCATGTTGGTGTCCCCATGACCCCCTGATACTTATTTGGAAATCTTCCTTACTTCAAGTTTTCTTAGCCAGTCAATTCCAGAAGGGTTTGGGACTTTCCCATCTCAGAGTCCTGTTTCTCAAGTGTGGTCCTTTTTTGATGTTCTTACAGCTTTCAACTGTCACAAACTTATTCATACATTTTGTGGGCTGGGTAAGCCTGCATTGATGAAACTCATTCCATGGCAAAGACATTTTTCCTCAAGATGCCCTGGGTCACCATTTGGCCACCACCGGGGGCTCTAATATTGGATCCCTAAGAATGGCAGTCAGACCACTTGCTTCCATCCAGGTAAAGGAGCACTGTCGTCAGGACTGCCGATATGCCAAAGAGAGCAGGAGTCACTCCTCAGAGCAACTGCCAGTCCCCAACCCGGGGCAGCTCATTTTCAAGGCTGAAGTTCAAGCAAAATGCTTACATGTACCCTTTTTTGACATGTTACTGTTGCTTAAGTCAATAATCCATATTTATTTACAAAACAGTCCTCACAAGATGGTCCCCCCCCCCACTTTTGCCAAAATCGAGTGGAGAAAAAGCATTGAATTTTTGTTCTTTACTCTTAGATTATGAAGAGATCTGACCAAGATGTCATTATAAAATACACTACTGGCTTAACGTAAGCCTTAAAATTCAAAATAGTACCCAAAATAAAATTCTGGACTCTGGAGACACTAAAATGTCACTGTCGGCATCCTCATCAAGCCTTTATCAAAGGCTGGAGAGAGGGCACTGGTTACCTTGGCACTCCCACACTGGTGAGGAGTCTGACGAAGAGGAGGGACACTGGCAATCCAAGAGCCCGAAACAGCTGGGAGCAGGGTGAGAACCACTAGATGCCAAGAGAAGGCAGAAAGCAGCGAGTAGCTCCTTTCAGTAGGGATGTTAACAGTATCAAATGACCTACTAATTTCAAATAATATAGTTAAGCAGAATTGCAAATCCAATAAAATGTACCAGTAAGACACTTGGGTGTTGAGAACTCTGTTTTTAAAGATCAAAGTGAAAATGAGCTACTAAGTATTTCTGATGGTTTGCACGGTCCTTGTTGGCTGTAAGGTCTACCTGTTGGATGTCTACTTATAAACCAAGTAGGCTCAGATCCCACACACCGTAAGAAAGGATTTCAGAGACTTTGATCATAAAAAAAAAGTCAATTTCTGCAGTTGATAAAATCACAGATAGGCCCAAGACGAACTGTTGATTAAGAAGCTCTGAAGAGCGGGCAGTGGTGGCTCACAACTTTAATCCCAGCACTTGGGAGACAGAGGCCAGCCTGGTCTACCAAAAGCTAGTTCCAGGAGAGATGCCAAAACTACAGAGAAACCCTGTCTCGAAAATGGGGGGGGGGGGAGAACCCTCCAGAGACTGTAAGATTGTTTGTCTCGGACTGGGATGGAAGAAGTTTCTAGTAAGTCCAATTCCTGCTTCCATAAATTAGAACTACCTTCTATCCCGCTGGTCCTGCTGGATGACAGCATGCATCTTGTGGTTTGCTGGCCAAGAGTATTGCAGGCATTTCAAAGAGGAAGGTCAGCTCAGAGTGTGTAATTACAAAGAATGAACCCTCCTTTCCTAGCCAAACAGAGGTGGAAGGAGAAAATAACAAGAGGAGGGGGACATGGCAGAGGGCAACTGGCTGAGACCAGGCCAGTTCAGGCAGTGCAAAATGATTGACTCACACACAGAGATCACTTAGGTTGGGGTACGTGAGCAACGCAGGGCTGGGTTCTCAATGTGGGTCAAAAAGGAGGTAGCTAATGTAAGAAGCCATGAACCCTATGCTTTGAATCGACATAGTGCCACTGTGCTTTCTGGCTTAAAATTCTGCAAATCAAAGCACTTTTTTTAAAGGACCCTACTGGCAGCCATGATCGATTGCAAGCTGTTTTTGAACTCTACAAATGTTTCCAAAGATATAATCAAAATGTTTTCTATTCATTAAAAAATATATTAAACATACCCATAGAGAAATTTAAGTATAATTAAAAGAGATTGTTATGCTTTAAAATGTACTCTAATAAATCCTATAAAATATAATTCTTGGGATGGACTATTGGTTAGAGGACATGGGGGTCACCAAAATCAACACAGGGACGTAAATCACAAGGCGTCATGCTCACATTTGCTAGTTTGCTATGTGACATCAAGGTCAGATTTCACAAACCTTCCATAAATTTTGGGTTTGCTTTTAAGAACAGTTGATGAGAGGGGCTGCTAGAGAGACGGTTCAGCAGCTGAGCACTGGCTGTCCTTCCGGAGGACCTGGGTGGATTCCCAGCACCCAGCTGTTGGCTCACAACCTTCTCTAATCCCAGTTCTAGGAGATTCCTCCCCTCTTCTGGCTTTCACCATGCACACACATGGGGTATAAACACACACGCAGGCCAAACACCCATACACATAAATGCGGGTCGTGGGGAGAGAAACTTATGATGGGGTCTCACTCTCCGGATCAGACTGGCCTGAAACTATGTAGTCCAGTCTGGTCTTGGACTTGCAGCAGTCTTGCTTCAGCCTCCCAAGTGTCAAGATTACATGCACGCGTCACCATGCCCGGCTTCCATTAGCTTGTTTTTGCTACATCTTAATAATCAACTGTTTGCAACTTCGCTCTCTTACCACAGTCATTTAACCAAACACCCAGGATAATTTGACAACCTGTACCAAGTACAAGCTGTAACAACAAAAAAATGACACCCAACTCCTTGAAACTCTGTAGCTTAAACAGAGCTATGAACCCACTGCATAAGTGCAGGCTCGGGTTCCTTATGACTTCAGTCAGGCTTCTGTTTTGGGGGTGGACACTGTGATTTGTGAACCTATGCACGTTCTAAGTGTGCGGAGGCCAGAGACTGATGGAGGATGTCATCTGCAATCGCTCTCCATGTTATTTCCTGAGGTGGACTGAACTCTCTCACCAAGCTTGGAGCTTGCTCAGTAGGCTAGTCTAGCTGGCTTGCCCTTGGGATACTCTATCTCCCGTGCCAAGGGCTGGGATTAAAGATAGACTTGCCACACTTGCACAGCTTTTCTGTGGGTGCTGGGGATCTGAACTTGCACAGCAAGGGGTTTGTCCACTAAGCCAGACCCCACCCGAGGACTGAGTAGTCATCGATCATCCAGTGTTTGAAAGAGTAAAGCCAACATTCACTCTCCTAGCATTTACCACACACACACACACACACACACACACACACACACACACACACACAAACACACACACGGGAATTGGGGTGTGAAAGGAACATACATTTAGACTAGTCTCTTCTCTCAACTGTTCACTTCCTGACTTTGAGGATACTTCTACTCCACCAGACTTCTTTGTCGTAAGATGTCCTCCCAGCTTCTCACTCTGCTCCTGCACCATTGCTCCTCCCTGTCCCCCACAAAAGCCCTATCAGAATGCATGGTCCCAACTATTTTAACTCTTTTTCAGGCGTGATACAGTCAATTTGCCAAATGTCCTAGATTTAGCACCAGGCTCCACTTCCTACTACCACGTATCCCATTAGCACCTGGAAGAATTTTGTTCTCAAGGGAAATCTACCAACACCCGTGCAATAATTATACACGGTTCTTCTTTTCTTACCTGGTATTACTAAGCCCTCATATATGCCGGGCAAGCACTTTACCAGACTTACCTATCTCTAGTCCTCAAATTTTCTATTATGTGTGTCTTTTGCCTGCAAGTGTACTTGTTACCAATAGAGTTCAGAAGGTACCAGGCCCTCTAGAACTGGAGTTACGGGTGGTTGTGAGGCACCATGTGGGTGCTGTGAACCAAATCCAGGTCCTCTTCAAGAACAAGTGCTCCTAACGGCTGAGCCACCTCTCTAGCCCTGCATCCATTTTTCAAAATGACATTTATCACGTGTGTGAACATGATGGGGTTGAGGCGTATGTGGAGAGCAGAAGGTAATTTTCAGTCAGTTCCTTCCACAAGGTCCAGGAACCAAAAGCAGTGTCCACACTGACAGTATGTGCTTTACCTACACCATTTCACCACTCCCCAACCCTGTACTCTTTTTGGCTTTTGATTTTGAGACAGGGTCTGAGTTTTTCAGACTAGTCTTGAATTTACCCTATAGTTAACTAGGCCTTGGATTTTGACCCTCCTGCCTCCAGTTCCTCAGTATCCGAGATCATGGGCTTCTTTCATCAGGCCTATGTTTACAGTTCTTTATTTCTACTCACTTAGAATTGTGTGTGTCAAGTGCCAAAGTGCACATGTGGAGGACAGAGGACAAGCTGCAGGTCTGAAAGTTTTCTCCAGAGTCCAGGAATTGAACTCGGGCTGTCAGGCTTGATGGCAACTGCCTTTACCACTGAACTACCTTGCTCTCTCATGACTTCTATGTGCTTCTAGGGTTACACATACATCATTCCATACTCCATATTTTGTTATCCTAAAGTCCTGTCTTCACTCTCTGGAAGACTGCCAATGCCCACCACTATTCTAACAGCACTATTATCAAATCTGAAGACAGCCTCAGACTCCCGAGTACCAGGATGACAGGTATACACGGCCACACATGGCTTTATTATGTCCACTCAACCTGCCTGGCACCTATCTGCTCTTCTTGTACCACACCTTTAGAATTCAGCCAAACCAGCTCTCAACAGAGGCAGAATCATGTTTATAAGACCAGTCTAGGGGGCTGGAGAGACGGATCAGATCTTCTCTTCTGCAGAGAACATGGGGGTTCTTCCAGAAAACCCCAGTTTGATTCCCAGCACCCATATGAGGGCTCCTAATCTATAACTCAGTTCCTAGGGGATCCAACACCCTGTTCTGGCTTCCATGGGCATCAGATGACACATTGCAGACATACATGCGAACAAAAGACTCATACACATTAAATTGTTTTTTAAAACGCCTATCTTCTCTCATTAATTATCTCAACTGTTTCTGTACACAAGAACCAACTTGGGACCTTTTGTTGTTGCTGCTGAGACACAAGGGTCTTACTATGCACCCTTAGCTGACCTCAAACTACAGTCCTCCATCGAGTTCCCGAGTGCTGAGATTACAGGCATGTGCCACAAGACCTAGCTAAACTGTTAGCCAAGAAAAGGAAAACTAGATTCCAAGGAAAGCATAGCTAGATGGCAGCTTCCCCGCCTTCGGTTTCTCAGTTATATTTAGCTGAACCACTTTAAATGGCAAGAAAGCTAATGTACTAATTCTGTGCTTTCCTTTTCTTCTTCCTCCACTGTACAAAGTGATTCCCCACAAAGTCAATGCTATAAAATGAAGTTCTTGGGTTGGCTGGATGGCTTAGTGGATAAGGCTTTGCTACCAGGCCGGACAACCTGAGTTCAACTCCAGCAGACTGTCAGCTGTATCCTCACTATGGCTAAAGCAACCATGGCTTTATCTCGCTGTGTCTGACTTTTGCTGAGAAATCAGATCCTATGGCTGTGAGATGGCTCAGCGGGTGAAGGCACTTCCACACAAGCCTGACACCTGATTGCAACCCACAGATCCATGTAAAGTTAGGAGAGAACTCCCAAAAATTATCTGCCTTCCAAAGACACACTCACTTGGAAACACACACGCACAAACTAAGTAATTTTCCCTTTTCTGAGACAGGGTTTCTCTGTATAACAGCCTGGCTGTCCTGGAGCTCACTCTGTAAACCAGGCTAGCCTGGAACTCACAGAGATCCGCCTGCTTCTGCCCCCTAAACGCTGGGACTAAAAGAGTGTTCCACCACCGCCTGGCTGACAAAATCACTTTTATAAGTATGTTAAAGGTCTAGAGAGATGGCTCAGCAGTTTAGAGAACTTACTGCTCTTCCAGGGGACCTGAGCTCAGTTCCAAGTACCCACATCAGATAGCTCACAACCACCTGTAACTCCTGCTCCAGGAGATCCAGTGCCTCTGGTCTCCAGACACAGAATTACACATCAGCCCTGAAATGAATATGGTAATGCACATCACTACTGTGGAGACTCGGGTATGAGCAGCACAAGCCCAAGGCCAGCCTGGACTACTTTACAAGATTCTTCCTTTAAAAATACAATAACCTCAGCCAGGCATGGTGCACGCCTTTAATCCCAGCACTCAGGCAGGCAGAGACTGGCAATCTCAGTCCAAGACCAGCCTGATCTACAAAGAGAGTTCCAGGATAGTTAGGGCTACACAGAGAAACCCTGCTGGGGGGAGTGGGGAGGAAGAAGGAAGAGAGAGGAGGGAAGGAGGGAGGAAGAAAGGGGCGTCTCCTTAGAGAGATGGTGATACACACCCGTAATTTACCATTCCAGAGACGATACAGAAGGGCTGTGAAAGCAAGGCCTTTTCTAAAAGGAAAGAAAACAAAAGCACTCCTTAGATATGCCTTCTAACAGCTGGTGGTCGTGAGCCATTTCAGCCATTCTATGGCTTTCCAAAATGAAGTCCCGCTTTCCTCTTTAAAAGATGCCTTTAACAGGAGCCACTTCCTGTTTCCTGGTCTTGACTTCCCTCTCTACTGCACGCATCACTACTGCCAGAACATGACTGCAGCCTTGCTGACTAAAGGCTCAGCACACGCCCTCAGGATGAGTGCCTGCCTTTCCTACAGCCCAACGCCTAGAGGACACCTAGGACACCTGGAGGACAAAACACATCTGCTCAACGCTAGCAGACTGGTTGTCAGATATCAAATGTTAAGAGCAGCATCCACATCAAACTAAGAAAGCCTTGGCTATCTGCAACATGAAGGTGGGCAGTGCACAAACCTATTCCTAGAATGTGCTTCCTTTTGAGAATACTTCCTCAAGAATTGTTTGCAGAGCTAAGTTTTTGAACTATCAGGTTGTTTTTTGCTTAATAAGTCACATGTGGGTCATCCAAAGCTTCAAAGTCTAAGCAGGCAAGTCCAGCTCTATTTCTTCTCTAAAACAAGAAGCTGTAAGCAGTGGTGTCCTAAAGGGTTAGTGCACAAACATGAAGGTTCTGAAGTATGGAATTTATTTACTTCTCTTTGCAATGCTGAGGAACGAAGAGCCCCGTGCATATGAAACAAGCACAGTGCCGCGGAGCTGATCTACAG